TTTTTTTTGAAAGCTATTTATAAACCAAAACATGCATTTGAAAGAATGAGGATATACCTTAACAATTATTAAAAAAAAATAAAAAGCCAAAAAACTGAGAACTGAAATGTTGGAAATAACAATTGTCAAAGTTAGTACTTAAGGAAATCACACATTTCATACTTAAAATAAACTAACAGAGATAAGGTAGCCTCCAACCAGTAGAAGGGAAGAAAAAGGAAAAACAGAAAGGAAACACAAATGAAGACAACAGGAAATGCAGCAGTTAAAAAAAAATTTTTAAGGGGCTGTGCCTGTGGCTCAGTGAGTAGGGTGCCAGCCCCATACACCGAGAGTGACAGGTTTGAACCTGGCCCCAGCCAAACTGCAGCAAAAAAATAGCTGGGCATTGTGGTGGGCGCCTGTATTCTTAGCTACTCAGGAGGCTGAGGCAAGAGAATTACCTAAGCCCAAGAGCTGGAAGTTGCTGTGAGCTGTGACGTCAGGTTACTCTACTGAGGATGACAAAGTGAAACTCTGTCTCTTAAAAAAACTTTTTAAGGCTATAATATAGAAGGAAAAAATATTACCATTTCTTTTTTTCCTTCCTTTTAATTTTATTTTAATAGATTTAGGGAATAGTACCATTTCTTGAGTAGCTACAGTGTTAATCACTTTGAATCATTAATCTTTATAATTTCGTGTAAGAATGCCAGGCACAAAGCAGGCATTAAAAATTATAGTTTCCACTGCTTCTCGGCCTTTTGGCTAAGATCAAGTGTAGTGTCTGTTTTTATCAGTTTAATATCTGATACATCTTCTATCCAAGGACAATATATTAAATGGATTTTTGGAGCAGGGAGTTGGAATAGGAGCTTGCTCGGTCCACTCCACGCATCGACCTGGTATTACGTACTCCCAGGAACAGTGCACCCCCAGGGGGATCAAAATTCAGTTAAATTTTATAGTTACAATTTAAAAAAAATTATAGTCTCCATTATTACTGTGTTTCAGTACCAAAAAAAGGTCCGAAACTTAATAGGCACTCATATTTATTGAGAAGTGAATTAAATGGGTAGGAGTATTGATTCCAGTCTAAAGATGAGCAAACAGTGTAGTGAAAAGAAGATTCAAACATTGTGAGTGTGAAACTCAAATCTTCTACTTAGGAACTCTATGATTGTGAGCATAATATAACATGCTATTTAGTTCTCTTTTCTCTGCAAATAAGACAAACAGCGCTTGACATATAATAATGCTCTTTAAATGCTAGATGACCACTAGGTGGTCACTAGATGTTATTGGTAGGAAAATTGTCCAGCTTCACAAATCTGATTCCAATCAAAGTATTTAGAATTCAACTAAAGCTGCTTTCATTTCCCCTGTATGATGTGGTAGACTTTTCCTCTCTTCTCTAATGCAGAAGTATCACGTAATAGCCAAGAACATGAACTTTGGGGTCAGGCAGATCTGGGTTCAAGCCCAGCTTGACCACAAGTTAAGTATGGGGCCTTGGGCCTTAGTTTCTTCAACTGTCAAAAAGGCATAAAAATAGCGATCACAGGCTTGGCGCCTGTAGCACAGTGGTTATGGTGCTGGCCACATATACCCAGGCTGGCAGTTGAACCCAACCCTGGGCCAGCTAAACAACAATGACAACTACAGCAAAAAAAAAAAAAATAGCCGGACGTTGTGGAGGGCACCTGTAGTCCCAGCTACTTGGGTGTCTGAGGCAAGAGAATTGCTTAAGCCCAAGAGTTTGAGGTTGCTATGAGGTGTGATGCCATGGCACTGTACAGAGGGCAACATAGTAAGACTCTGTCTCATAAAAAAAAAGTGAGACACCCATCGCTACTAAAAGTAGAAAAACTTAGGAAGGAAGATCACTTGAGCCCAAGTTGGAGGTCGCTATGAGCTATGACGCAACGGCACTCTACCCAGGGCGACAGATTGAGTCTCTGTCTCAAAAAAAAAAAAAAAAAATAGCTATCAAGAAAGGTGTTGTAATGCATGCCACTCACGTTGAGTAATGGAGACCAAAAAACAGATCCCAGATAGGTTTGGTGGCTCCCAACTGTCATCCTAGCACTCTGGGAGGCTGAGGTGGGAGGATCATTTGAGCTTAGGAGTTCCAGACTAGCCTGAGCAAGAGCAAGACCCTATCTCTACTAAAAATAGAAAAATTAGCCAGGCCTGGTGGTGGGCACCTATAGTCCTAGCTAATGAGGAGGCTGAGGCAGGAGGATTATCTGAACATAGGAGTTTGAGGTTGCTGTGAGCTAGGCTGAGGCCAGGGCACTCTAGTCTAGGCAACACAGTGAGAATGTCTCCTGCCCCACCCCCCAAAAAATCAGGTCCCAGCCAAATAATAAGAAAGGGTAAGACCTGAGTAGGCTCCCAGGAAGCAGTGAGAAGAGAAGAGATTCTAACCCTAGAGAAGAGATTAATCTAGATGACCTGAAGTTCCTTTCAGTTTTACAGTGTTTATTTCTTCTATAGGCAGAAGCAAGGGAAATACTGCAGTATTTCCCTTCTAAACTTCTCACTGATAAGCAAGTCCCTAGTGACTCTGGACCCAACAGGTAAAACGGACTGATTGATAGTATTCAATAACCACCATCACAGTTACGTTTGGTGCTTACTTTGTGGCAGCACTGTATGCTTTTACCTGAATTAGCCTATTGTCTCAAAATCTTGTAAAATATATATAGGATTATCTCCATTTCGTCAATGCTAAAACTGAGAAGCAAAGGTTTAACTAATTTAACTTTCCCAAGGTCAAACACATAGTGATGGTAGATCTGGGATTTGGGCCCATCTGTCCACAGAGGTTGTGACTGGTTCCTGAGAAGGAGAGCTCTCATGTCTGGAAAGCACCTCAAAGGCAATCTTACCAAAAAAAGTGTAACTTTGCCAAGCTCGGGTTTGGAATTTGGCTCTGCTTCTTACTGTGTGACCCTAGATAAAGTATTTAGCCCATTTTCTCCTCTGTAAAGTGTGAGCTACTACCCATTTCCCAAGGTCATTGGGAGGATCAAATGAGATAATAATACGAGAACCTCAAAAAGCCTCAGTCTGACACTGTGGCTCATGCCTGTGGCTCATGCCTAGAACTCTGGGAGGCCGAGGTGGGTGGATTACTTGAGCTCAGAAGTTCAAGACCAGCCTGAGCAAGAGCGAGACCCTGTCTCTACTAAAAATAGAAAAACTAAGGCAGGAAGATCGCTTGAGCCCAGGTGTTTGAGGTTGTTGTGTGAGCTATGATGATGCCATGGCACTCTACCCAGGCCAACAGAGTGAGACTCTGTCTCAAAAAAAAAGCCTAAAGTCTCTTGTTTCCCACTGGATTGGGAAAGC